GTGTGATTGTTAATCATGATTTTATGTATCAGTACGTACAATAAAAGTTTTGGGTGTTTGCATTCCTATTCTACTTTAGGATATTGTTTCACAAATTTGTACATGTATGAATTAGTGGTGTAAGTGGCGTCGCACGTGAATTTTAATATTTATGCAAGCAAAGTAAGCGATACTGATACAAAAAAATTGCTTAAAATGTGAGAAAAGTGAAAAATTGTCAATTTTGAAGAATGAGTTTACTTACTAGAGAAAAATTATCTTTGCTAGAAACTTTAAAAAGAATTTTCCTTGATTCCTATGTCAATTTATTGTTGTTGTTCGTTCCTATAGGATTTATAGTACACTTTGTTAGCTCGAATGACACGTTAATTTTTTTTATGAACTTTCTAGCGATCATTCCATTGGCTAAATTGCTTGGGTTCGCCACTGAAGAAATAGCATACACTGTCGGTGAGGTAATGTATATTGAATTACACAATATTTATCACCCTTTCATTATTCTAATATTAGGTTTTAATAAAGGCTGTGGGAGGCCTGTTGAATGCAACATTTGGCAATGCAGTAGAGTTAATAATAGCTATAGTAGCATTGGCGAAGGGTCAAATTCGCGTTGTCCAAGCATCAGTGCTAGGTTCTGTACTTTCTAATATTCTATTAGTATTAGGAACATGTTTTCTTATTAATTGGTGATATTCATTGAGTCGCATGATTTAATATATTAATAATAATTTACGATCTTTGTTTAAAATTTACACTAATGTTAATCTAGTTTCGTCATTCGGTAATAGTTTTGTAATTAGCCAAATTAGGAAAAAGGTATATGATGTAACATGAGTCTAATTAATGCTAGTTAGGCATTTTATCATTATTAATTTTCTCAATTTTACATAATTGCTAGATAAAAGTGGCATTGTATTTCACAAGTGTTTCATACGTACAGGGATCTGCAAGCCCGGCAGGTGCCCATGTCTAACAGAAGGCACAGGCATGTCATAGACACGAATGCAAAAACATCTGACATAAAGTTAGTGGACACTTTTGAGGCTCAGGCACAAAGTATTTGGCTCATGCTAGGAAACTATTAGGCACTAGGGCACAAAGTGCCTGCTCCAAAGGTGCCTAAAACATTACGTGTGCGCCTACAAAATGCTAAAACTATTGTGCCCATGTGCACGGGCAACCTCACAAGCGTTAGTGCCAGGCATGATACCCAATATACCTGGCATGGGCATTTACAGATCCCTAGTACGTTGTAAAAGTGCGAATCGAGGTCACCGGTTCTCATAACCTAAATCAGAACAAAGACTAGACTACTCGAAAGAAGGCGTGAAAGATTTGGTCCGAGAATCAAGGATCCTACTGCCACTAGAATCCTCGGATTAGGTAGTTTTTATTATGATTTTATTTACATATTATCTGCTCTCCTTAGCTACATG